GAGCTCGTTACTCTGACGTAGCAACAAGCTGCTTGTTAAGGAACTATAATTTGGTGAAGGAACTGCGAACATTAAAACATATTAAACGCCGCGTTCACAGCCCAGTTTATTAATTTATTACTGTATTTATTTAACTGTTGTATAAAAGCAGTAGAACACTCGAGGAGTGTGTTATCACCAATAACATCACGGCTGTGATGATCTATGGCGACCAAATCACAGCCGTGATGTTATTTCGTGATAACACACTCCCTCTCGTGTTCTATTGCTTAAACAGCACATCTGTTCTTCTACTTACAAACACAGATGTGTTCTGGACTGAAGGTTCAGAATCTGCAGTCTCAATGAGGCATGAGTGAGAAATTATTACATAAAATGTAAGACGAGTCGTTTCATAGTATACACACCTTAAGGGACCTACGAGGGTTTGAGACTGAAGACAGATTTCACTTCAGTCTTCACAAAAACATACTGTATCAACGTCATACTATATATACCTGTACATACTGTATATACATAACGTTCATAGTGTTCACAGTTCCTGTCTCTCTCTCTCTCTCTCTCTCTCTCTCTCTCTCTCCGCAGTATGTAAAGGGATGAGCACATATGAGTACATAGTGAAGCAGCGTCAGCTACAAAGCTGCAGAGATCAGGGGGGCGGAGCCACACAGCAGACCCAATCCGAGGCTTCAGCACAGGTAACATCCTCCACATACACTGAGAATACAATATGTCATTTCTTTGTCACTGTGACCTACAGTCTGACCCTTCAGGGTCCAGGAACTGACCTCTGTACCTGCTTTGTGATAATGTATACCAGTGGTCTCCAACCCTGGTCCTGGAGAGCTGCCTTCCTGTAGAGCCTAGTTCCTACCACAGGTTGCCACACCATCTCCAGCTAATCAATCCCTTCCTAAGTCCCTGATCAGCTGGATCAGAAGTAGGGGGGCGGGGCAGCTTATTGGATACAGGTTGGAACTAAACTTTGCATTAAGGTAGCTCTCCAAAACCAGGATTGGAGACAAAATTGTATTTGCCGTCATGCCCATATTGGGAATTCCGGGGTCTAAGCCTTTTTTCTCTATGGAAAAAAATGAACAGCATTTCTGTGAATTGCCACTTTCACAACATGGTAAACAAAAATGTTCCAAACTACGTTTTCCCTCCAGTGTCACTGAATCCTCTGAATTATGAGGCCTTCAAGGAATCAAAATATGATTCCTACGTTATCTAACGCTGCTGCGCATTTAGCTGACAGTTATTGGCCCAACAGTAACTATGAAGGAATGCATTTGTGGGCGGAGCTTGGATAGAGCAGTCGAACATGGGGATGTTTGCTTCTTGTTGACCAGTTTTTGATTTGACTGTCCAACATCCTGTAGTCTCTCAAAGCAGTGGTGGACGAAGTACACAAACCCTGTACTTGAGTTAAAGTAGAGAGACCCAAGGTAAAATATTACTCCAGTAAAAGTAGAAGTTCCTCCCCTTAGACCTCCACTTGAGTAAAAGTACTAAAGTATCAAAAGTGACAGTACTAACAGATTAATTATGGCTCTGATGTCCTATTATCATTTTTGTAACAGGACTCTGCTTCGTTAACTCATTTTAGGTGAAAATACTCAGTGTCTCTCTTGGTAAACCAGTCTTTAAATAGAACGTCATTAATTAGTGACGCTGATGTTTATTAAAATTATCATAAGAACAAAACACTGAAGGCGAACAGTTTCCATCAGGTAGAACTGAGTGGCTCTGAAATCACTTTTTGCAAACAAGCAAAGTTTCAGTTTCAGATTTATTTGCAAGTTTAAGTTTAATAAAGCTTTAAACTCAGATTCACAAATGAGTTTCCTTCACTAAACTGCATCTGTAGGTCTCTGTTCATAAACATAAACTAGACAAAACTAATTTACTATAAAATGAAATCGTGTTTGTATAAATTCAGAAAAAAGACACGTCAGTCACAACTGCATATGAGTACATATTTCTATATTGTGGTCTGTTTACACAAAGTTAGGTTGGTTCATCATTTATGTTGAATAGACTCTCCCAAAATTTTACGCTGCTGCACTGATGTTGAACCGTGTGCTGCACTGGGTCGGTGTGACCAACAGGTCAAAACAAGCTCAAAACAAAGTGACCGCTGTGCCCTGATTGGTGTTCTTACTTTGCGCTTCTTTCGTTTTGACATGTTATGTTTTTATACACACATAAACCAAAAGGAACGACAGATTTCTCAGAATGTAGTGGAGTAAAAAGTGAGATATTTGACTTTGAAATGTAGTGGAGTGAAAGTAAAAAGTCACCCAAAATGGAAGAACTTCAGTAAAGTACAGATACAGGAAAAAACTACTTAAGTACAGAAACGAATTACATTTACTTAGTTACTGTCCACCACTGTCTCAAAGATACATATAAAGCTCTTGCATCCTGATGCTAAAATAAAATAACTTTTTTTTTAACTCTCAGAGCCTCGGCCCTTTGGATATGTCCATAGACTGTGATGCACCGCTGTCCAGCAGATCAAGGTATTGTTTTTTTTTGCTTTTATTTAAATATTTACAGTTCAAAATCCCAGTGATTTACCCTTAAAGACTATAAAGATGTGCAGAGGATTAGATTAGCATACATATTATGATTACATTACACAGTATATAAATAAATAACAGCACATTTTGTTTACCTACAGTTTTCAGGAAACAGGCTTCATTTCAAAGGTGGTAATGATGCGAATGCTAACACCGCGTCGTAAAATAAACGGAAGTGGATGGGGGGCTGTTCACATTGAGTTTATTTGCACTGAGCTAACTGATGACTATAAGCCTAGTAGCCATATTAGCATTGCTAGCTGAAGTATTCCTTTAATAGCATCTTTATCCCTCTTTGTAGTATCTTCAAATACAAAGACAAGGGCCAGATGTCCAGTGGACTCTCAGGATCCATCTGTTCCGAGGTCAATAAGCAATAAGAATAATGATTTTACTCTGTCTGTATATATAATAAGACTCCGTATGGAAACACAGTCTCTGCACTGTTTGTAGATGGAACACTTTCCTCAGGCGGCCGATGGAGAAAATCATCCCAACTACGGTTCAAAAACTTCAACACAAATTATACCAGGTAAGATCACGTAAAAATAACATTTTTGAATTAAGACAGCAGTGATGAAAAGTAATCACGTTACTTTGAATATGGACCTTTTTTTAAAGCACACTTTGGATACTATGTTTTTCTTTATGGTTAGAATTTATATGTTGCACAATTTATAAAAAAAAATATTTGTTAGCCACAAAAATGTAATACAGTTTTACAATTTACCAAAGAAAATACTTTAATTTTGCCCAACCAGCCCATACAGACGTCTGATATATGGCAATATAGGGGTTACAAATACATGACATACACCGATAACATTATGACCACCTCCGTGTTTCTGCACTCATTGTCCATTTTATTAGCTCCACTTACTATATAGGTGGTGGTGTGTTAGTGTGTGTTGTGCTGGTGGAGTGGATCAGACACAGCAGTGCTGCTGGAGTTTTTGCTGTGTCTGATCCACTTGTACCAGCACAACACACACTAACACACCACCACCACGTCAGTGTTACTGCAGTGCTGAGAATGATCCACCACCCAAATCGTACCTGCTCTGTGAGGGTCCATGGGGGTCCTGACCACTGAAGAACAGGGTAAAAGGGGGCTAACAAAGTATCAGAGAAACAGATGGACTACAGTCTGTAACTGTAGAACTACAAAGTGCACCTATATAGTAAGTGGAGCTGATAAAATGGACAATGAGTGTAGAAACAAGGAGGTGGTCAGAATGTTATGCCTGATCGGTGTATGTTAGCATGTATGGATTTTGGGTATATCCAACTTAATTTGTTACATATGAACATATATGTTGGTATATATATGGGTAACACCTCTGCCTTCTACGACGTAAACTGGGGTTCAATCCCTGCCTGGGTAAGCACCCTATACTATACCTATAAGAGTCCTTGGGCAAGACTCCTAACACTACATTTGCCTGCCTGTGTAAAAATGATTCAATTGTAAGTCGCTCCGAATAAGAGCATCTGCCAAATGCCATAAATATGAATGTAAATATATGTGACATATATGCCAACTTGAAATTGGATTGAATATTGGACACATATTTCAGCCATATATCAACACATACAAACACATATGTGTAACACATATTTAACAATATATGATAGAAAACATTATTCATATATGGAAGGCATATATTACTCATATATCCTAGCTACATGTTACCTAATATAAAGTTTTAATGCATCTTCTATGTTTCTTCCACATACTTCCTTTATTAGCTACATAACTAAACTCTAACTACATGCACATTGGAAACTATGCAGTGAAAGCATTAAAATACAAAAGTAATGAAATTATCGTTCCTGTTAAATTTAAATGATTTATTATTTAAAAACAAACAGACAACAGAGTAACAGTTATGACTGTACTGGGATGAATTCAACCATGTATCAGACATATATGTATGATCCATATATTTTGCATATATTTTCAACCCTTGACACTCACATATATGCACATATATATCTGACTCTTTAGGATATATGTCCATATATGTCCACATATCAGATTTCCGTATGGAAGTAGTTTCTCTTAGTTTTCCTAAATTAGCTGAATTAGCTTCCCCCTTTAACCTAAATGGTCTCAATAAGCCAAGACATGCGTACTGTCTAAAGTGTGCTTCTTTAGCCCACAGACTAAAACTGTGTTTCAGTAGTGACATGAAGATGTGGGACAGCATTTTTTTAATAAATTGTTTTATTAAAAAATTGTAACTCATAATAAATCTAAATCTTTCAACTTTTCGATTTCTTTTAAAGATCTTAAGAAAACACTGGGGGGGGGTGTAATTTTAGGGGTTAGGATTCAGGACAGACACCTAACAATAGAAATTTTGTATATATTTATCTTATTATTATCTCTATTAATGCCTTAAAATAGATCATAATGCTTGTAAATATCTAAGATCTGAATACTTTGTGTTTTTAAATAGTTTTGTTTACAGTGAGACTGCAGTTTGACCTAATTCAGTAGAACGGTCTTATACAGGTGAACTGTATGTGTGGACATCTACTCGAGTGTAGTTTTTCTACGTTCTTTTCACCACTGACCACTCAACGCTCCGCTCTCTTTCCCTGGTGCATGTATACGTGTGTGCTGGTCTCAGGCGAGGCTTCGGTCAGCTGGCGTCCGAGTCGTGTGGAAAGCCCCCAGGTTCTCCAGCAGAGCAGCAGTGGCCGGCACAGTCAGGCTGAGGGACACCCCATCGTCCAGAGCCCTCTGGGCACCTCCATCATAGACACCACTGTGGTCCACCAGCAGCTCATACACTGACACACAGCAGTGTTCAGCAGGGTCCTCAGTGTCCACTGCTTGAGGTCAGAGAGCCATCCTGTGGAGAATCAGAGCAATAACATTGATCAAACACATACTGAGTGGATTCTGGGCTCTTTTGGACATCTTTATCATTTTTTAATTATTATTTTTACAGATTACAGGTTAGTTTTACAGGTAATAACCTGTTTGTATATTGTGTTTTTATAAAAAAAAAAACAAGACAGCTATGGTCAAAGGGGAAAACACCACATTTTTAAACTTTTCCGCATAATTTTAAGGTTAAGCAGTAAACAAAGTCATTCAGAGTGGTTTGATGTTCACAGTGGTGGTGACAGCAACCAGATTAATGCCTTTAAAAGCTCCCTCAATAAAACTTACTACATGAAATAGTTATGAATACGCTGCCTGATGCTTTTTACAATAGTTTTAGGACAAACTTTGGCTAAAATATAACGAGCCAGATTCATAAAACTCAGCAGTAACTGTGCTACGTCACGTATTCAAACTTAATATGTTAATGAGGTTTAATAGGTTACATATAAATGACCAATGCAGAAGCCTCTTGACTAAAATTGCAGCAACTTCTACAAATTAAATCACATTTAATGCAATTAATTGCAAACAAGGTGCATTATATCAAATATAACAAACACTTCTATCCACAGTTAAAGCAGAGGAGATACAGAGCTGAAGAAGAACAATGCAGATGTCACAGTGTCAGCGCTCGACGGAAACTGCAAGTCCTGATAACATTAACTGCTCTTTTATGAAACAAATAGTTCCGGAGCTAAAATCTGATTGGCTGAGCCACATTTGAAGCCATTGTTAAATCCACAATATAGACACACCTGAGGCCGCCTCACAACAACGGGACTCTGTATCACTGCACCACAGCACGGAAAACCCTTGTGCTGTTTAAAGGAATCATCTTTGACTCTTATGCTGCTCACATGGACCACCGAGTGTACTGATGAAGTAAGACCCCGTTTGCTGTTTAAACTGAGGGGCTGAAAGCTTATGTTCTTAACTAGATCTAGGCTGGTCAGCTAGCTAACAGCCTAAACACTGCCATCATTAATATCACAGGCCTGAATTAAAGCACTTACAGTATGATTAACTGTAAAACGGCAGTATAAACATCTAGAAATGTCACTTGAATGTCTGACACACTTCAAATGTCCATGTTTCAGTCAGAAGTCACGTCAAACCCAGACTGAATCCCAAACGGCTCTGTACTCCCTAAATAGTGTTCTGGCTATGAAAGTTTAGAAATTCTAGCCTCTACAGTCAAACAGTGCATCATTTACCGAGTGTGGATGTGTCTGAATCCCAAATGACTGTTTCTTAGCTGTATTTTGCTCTGTTGGGCTGCAGGATCCAGTATTTAAACTCCTACGTAGTGCACTATGTAGGGAGCAGGGAGCTGTTTGAGATTCAACCCCAGCGTGAGAAGAGGGCGCCGCTGGATTGGTGCTAAATAAGACTCGCTGTGGAAATTGGGTGACCAAAAAGTACTTATAAAGCGAAAGTTTCTGCATTAAACTGTGCTGTTATCATATGCTCATTGTTCTACGATAAAAAGTTTAAAAATGTATGAAATGACTGTAATATACAGCGATGGGCGACCGAACGTTCTCCTCATTCAGTGGTTCATGGTTGCTTGGCAACGATACCGTACTCTAAAGGAACTACATTTCTTGGCGGAATACTCATGTCGATTATTATTAATAATAAATTATTTCCTGAAAAATTGTGTATTTTATCATATACTTCCCGTGATAAAATCACAGTAACGCACGGCCTCAAGTGGATTATTGCTTTATTAAATCATGGCAGAGCAGCAAAACTGTATCTCTCCTCAGTCTGTATGTATCAGCTATATTCGAAGCTGTTGTGAAATACTCAGTTCTGAGTTCTGTATTAATGTGCTCTGAATCCTTCTCAATCAAGTCACCTTCCTCTTCACGCACTCCTACAACTGCAGTCACACTCTATGATAATCAAAACAGATTAAAACTTGCTTTTTGAATACAGAGGTAATCACCTGAGTGTGGAATTGCCTGATGGCTTGCAGAAAGGATCCTTCAATCCACATCAGCTTCTTACTGAGAAATTTACCGTCAGACTAGTTCGGGTCAACAGTAAGACAGGCCAGTAATACTCGTTAATGAATGAGGAAATGTGTCAGTGACGCTGTTTACACTTAACATCACAGTAAATCTCTCAAATCTGTTTAAATCTATTTATGGTGGAGGGATACATGCAGGGCATCGTGAGGCCAAATAGTCCCCAAAGAAAACTTTTTTTCAGATTTTCCACTATTTTCCATCATCAACATTCCATATAAACTCAGAAGACTCGTGTAGGTTCACTGGTGGTTCTGGATAGTAAATAAAAGGTCTATATTTGTGTTGTAGTCATGGCGACCCCTGGTTCCTGTCACCACCACTGTAAAGAAATCTGAACCATTTCACACCAAACCACTCTGAATCTCTCTGATTACATCTCACACACTGAGTTATGCAGAAATATTAAAGAAAACCAGTGGAATTCCTGTTTAAAACGTGTTCACTACATGATTGCAGATTGCTTTGTTTATGTCTGTATTTGATAATAAATGCTAAAGGGAAGTACTGAAACATAGACAGATAAGATAGACAGGGTGATTCAAAAAGATCTGATTTCAAAGCGCAATATTTTTACAACCTTGAGGCGCCTAGGAACCAATCACAATCCAATTGAAAAAGGGGGTCATAGCGTTTCTGACGGTCACTATGGTAGTGAACCTCCAACAGCTCAGACCATTCATTGTTGGTATCAAGAGTTCCAAGAAAAAGTCACCAGCATCACCAGATCTCACGCCGTGTGACTTTTTTTGTGGGGGTACGTTAAGGAGTCTGTTTATGTGCCACTCCCAACAACACTGGATGATCTCCAAAATCACACTGAAAGAGCCGTGAGTGCAGCGACACCCGACATGCTCAATCCAGTATGGGATGAATTTGACTATGGCGTTGATGTTGTCTGTACAGCTGGAGGAGGTTCATACTGAGACCTTGTAACATTACATAATAAACTTTATGCTCATTTAAGCCATTTACAGTTTACTGCATTGATCTGTAATGATTTACAAGTGAAATGAATCATTTTGAAATCGGATGAATCTTTTTGAATCACCCTGTATATGCTCAGGTGGAGGAATGCAGAAATGTGATGCTGACCACATGATGGAGCTGTTTCTCTCTGTTGGTTAATAGTGTGTGTTACAAAACCACATGCATGCACACATCCGCCAGCTAAAGCAGAAGTCCAGAATTGGAGCCTCACTCCTGGTGCCCCCCTCTGTTTACATCTCTGTAAAAATGTCTTGTTTTTTTTCTGATGGTCCACCGTTCCACTCTGCACTGTGTGCAGCATTATGTAACCCCAGGAGAACTCATCACGGCGTAATGCTGAAAAAGGCTCAGCAGCGGGGGCTTCTCAGACCTCACCGGGACATTCCATGTCGGGACAAATGCCAAAGCACACATATCCTCGCTTATTTTCTTTGTTGTCCAACCCTGAATGTCCCTATTCCCTAAATAGTGCACTACATAGGCCATGAAATAAAGGCATCCACACCAGAACAGCCCTCAACAGACAGCCATTTAGGATGCAGCCCAAGCAAATTACCTTTAATTTCTAACACTTAAACTTATTTTTATTAAAAATCTACACAATGAAACATCAACTCTGGTGCCATATTTGTCCCATTTGTACATGTACACAGTTTATATCGCTCCTATGAGTGACAGCATCTCAGCCAATCAGCGAACAGCTCCGTCCGCGCCTCAGCCAATCAGCAACCTCCGTGGCCAGCGCCCCGGCAAATCAGCGAGCAGCGCCGTGTAACCGCGTCCTGGCCAATCAGCGAGCTCCCTCTCCAGCTTCTCAGCCAATCAGCTTCCTCCGTGGCGCAGAGCGGAGCAGCCGCGGCTCGGTTCACGCGGAGCGATTCGGCGATGATTCAGTGAGGAGAGCGACGGAGGAGAGCGCGAGCGAGCGGGAGGCTGACAGGTAAGCAGGCGCGCGCGCGCCCCGTTCCGGAGGCGTTCGTGCGAAAGCGGTCTCGCGCTGTTGCTACGAGACGCGCGTGCGTTGTTTGTTTTGATTTGTGTTTGTGTTTTTGGTTTCTGTTTTTATCTCCGCGGCGCGCGATGGCCGAGCTGTGGCTTTCTGCTCGAAGCTGCTCGCGCTCGTTTTCTAAACTGTGAGCGCTGCACGGGCGAACAACAACAATGATCACGTGGCTTCGCTTTCCCCAGGCTCGTTTATGTAACAGCAGAGCGCGCGGACGCTGTGATGGGTGCAATACGAGGTTGCATGTTTGAAACGAGTCTTCATACAGCGATGCTTTCAGTGCACTAATGGAGTTAATTAATATTAAATTAATGAAATTAATATTACTGCAGTCATTCAGAGCTGATCTCTGCAGATGTGCTGCTCATGCACGGGCAACAGTGGCACAAGTGAATATGTATACTATATATATATATATTTACATACATACATACATATATACACCAATCAGGCATAACATTCTGACCACCTCCTTGTTTCTATGCTCATTGTCCATTTTATCAGCTCCACTTACTATATAGGTGCACTTTGTAGTTCTACAGTTACAGACTCAGCACTGCAGTAACACTGATGTGGTGGTGTGTTAGTGTGTGTTGCGCTGGTCTGAGTGGATCAGACACAGCAGTGCTGCTGGAGTTTTAAACACTGTGTCCACTCACTGTCCACTCTATTAGACACTCCGACCTTGTCAGTCCACCTTGTAGATGTAAAGTCAGAGACGATAGCTCATCTGCTGCTGCACAGTTTGTGTTGGTCATCCTCTAGTCCTTCATCAGTGGTCACAGGACGCTGCCCACAGGACGCTGTTGGTGGACTATTCTCAGTCCAGCAGTGACACTGAGGTGTTTAAAAACTCCAGCAGCACTGCTGTGTCTGATATATGTATGTATATATGTATATATATGTGTGTGTGTGTGTGTATATATATATATATAT